TGTTCTATATTTGTGAATTTTTAGATGGTGACGGTCTATTGAAAAGAGCCCCCATCCGAAACAGTTCAGTCAGAAATGAAGATCCCGCCAGATGTGATAACTATGCTCTAATCGGTATATGAAGGTTCTTATTCAATGTAGTCCGAGCGGGCGCTGATTCGAATGAGCAGTACTATTTGTGGAGGGCGTTATGACAGAGTTGAACGTCAGTAGGATAGCAGGAGTCTGTGCCATGCAGGTAGTATCTGCCAGGCATCTGCCGTGTAACGTCATCGGTTTCTCCATGCTTGACACAAGTAAATGTTTCGTCTTCGGGAAATACACTTCTTATCAAATATATATAAATCGTGGAGTTTTTTTTACGATAACAAGAATCTTCTTACCATACAGGGTGGTAGAATACGAGTTCGGTTTTCCTCCCTGCAGCCTTCGGGTGAGCACGCAGCTACAGCCGAACACTATTGTGACGGTCAGTCCTATAAGAAAAGAGATGAGAGCAATGTTCAGTGCATCCATTGTCGTTTCGTCCTGTTCTACGTCTGTTCAGTGAACACCATCCTTATATTATCGCAGGTCACTGTTGCAAAACGACGGTTTCAAAGCAACCGACAGCTGCATTTACTGTTTATCACACCAATACTAAATATATAAATGTCAATTCTGTATATCTCCACGATAAAAATAGTGTCACCTATATAGCGCTTTTCCACAGGGAGGCACGCCCGATGAGGGGACATGTTTGTGATACAGTATATATAGTGATAACCGTCTTTACTACCATGAACCCGTGAAGTCCCGGGTTAGAATATTGATCTTCAGTAACCCATGCTTGTCGTAAGAGGCGACTAACGGGATCAGGTGATCAGGCTCGCTGACTTGTTTGGCACATGACATGGTATCCCAATTGCATAGATCAATGCTCATGCGGATGATCACTGGATTGTCTGGTTCAGGTTCTATCATGTTCAGATGACCACCGTAGAGCTGGAATATTACGGAGTGTGGTGTTAAACAACTACCAAACTCTCCTACCACGAAGCATATTTCCCAGCACCATAGGGGAAGCAGTAAATACACAACTGTTCCTCAGGTTATACATATGTATATTTAGACTAGGAACTGAAAGAGCAAGAATTTAAGTTCCTTGGGCCCCTATTCGCAGAATTAGTAGAATTGCGTGTCAAGGTTTCAGGTGAGTATATGTGTGGTATTAATATCAATAATGCTTGGGGTCTGTAACTCTGTATGGGTTTGCCTCTCCGTTTTGAAGTTGTGTCAACTACTGCATTATAGCAGCTCTATAATATATATATATTTAGAAAGTGTGTGACGTCAACTCACTGACCTCTAATCATGTTAAATGATATGTGAAATGAGTTCAGAGAGATATATAATGTGAAAAGCTACCTAATATACCTACTAGAGCTCTGTATGAGAAGGTACACCACGGCTCTCTGTGTAAATGGAGCCCTATTTACATGGAAAAGTAATTGATATCCTGTTCTGGAGAAGGTTAGGAACTGTACTTTCTTCAATATATAGAAAACATGAGCCAAAGAAAAAGTAGTCTGTGAGTTGTGAGGAATAGTGAGGAATATTACAGTATATAAATGGATGACAGAGATATCGGTGGTGACACCAGGTGCTCACAACAAGCTAAGCATGTCCGGCTCTACCAGTTACACCCACCACCAACACATGTTGTAGAACAGACAATACTACAGTGACAGGAGTCCTATCACACTGAAACAACCCTACCATGATTACACTATCCCACTGCAAGGCATCACACAAAACATGGTGGCATTTGACTCAGTTTTAATGAGGTATTGTTAATATAATACAGAAAAACTTCAAGAACAATCCAGTAAATAAATGGTTCAAACATACAAAATATATCACAGGATTCTGGTCACTGTGACAGTGACAGTCTTATATTATTACTGAAACTACAGAAAGCAAGTTATAAGAAATGACCTATCCAATTCACAACCATAACTAAATGTTTTCAGTTCAATTCAATATTCTATATGGATTTCTAATACAACATGTTCAGGCTTAGAGGGGTTTCATTTGGGGGCAGTAATAACTAAATTGAAATGTTAAAATCAGAATGCCAGGAAAGCTATTGGCCTCCTACTATTCTTGGACAAGCTGGTTCAACATTCAAACTTATCACTGGCTAACGGGCATATCTGAGCCAATTATCATGTGTAGGCAAAACGTTTAGAATGCAATTATTATACGTACATATCCTTGCTTTCAGCATGTTGAAGTACATTCACCTGTAACATTTTTCCTTCAAATTTATCATTTCCTTTTTTTAATATTTTTTTAATACAAAATTATGTGTAGGCATTTGCCTTTTTGCCTATATGGCAGCTATGCCCCTGGCTAAGATTGTTAAATGAATGACCACATAATTTGATAACATTCAATACCATATTACAAGACTGACTGACTGAGTTTCGTTTTACGTCGCTTTTAGCAATATTCCAGCAATATCACGGCGGGGGACACCAGAAATGGGCTTCACTCATTGTACCCATGTGGGGATTCAAACCCGGGTCTTCGGCGTGACGAGCCAACGCTTTAACCACTAGACTACCCCACCGCCCCCCATATTACAAGAAAACATTCAATGCAATATTCATTGAAAATATTCAGTTCCATGCAAAATAAAGCAATTGTAATGTTTGCAATGTCAAGAACACATACTTGTACCAAGGGTTATACTAAAATGACTACAAGCCACACTGCACACATTTTGTATAAATAGCTGTGAAACTATCCACAGTTGAAACTATCCATAGCTGTCAATACTAATGGAAACATGTCAATAGCAGCTTGTGGGAACGTGGACCATATGCACTGTTTAAATGTAGGGCCAAGAAAACTGGGTAAAATTACTTTAGATACCAACTAATATCCGAAAATGGACTAATAGTACCAGATATAAATGCTGTGCACTTTTTAAACTAAACCTAGAAGTAGAACCTTACACCTAGAAAATTATGCCTTGTGTACTATCAACTTTGCTTGCTCTGAGGTTGGATGTAAGTCTTGATACCAGAAGACGTGACACACAGAGCACAAGAACATGTACATCTCCATATTGTAACAACAATGAGCACCTGAATCAGATCAAAACAAAAAACAAAATTATCCAATCGCCTCATTTTCTTAAATTTCTAATAGTATTATTGCAATCACATGTCATTCTTGTATGCTATTAACTTCCTTCTGGACTGGGATACAAATATTTGTTTACATATATTTTCTGTTATCATTACAAACTGGGACTTGCAAGTAGAAAATGATATTGTCTTCAACTAAGGCAATATTACAATATCTCACCTGATATATAATGCCATATATTTGAAGCCATGTGGCACCTATAATGACTATTCACATGAAAGTTGTATTGAAACATATTTTACAATGTGGGCTGTTTGGTGTGGTATGTTGCATGTGTCTTATGGCAGAGTTGTGTCCCTTGGTGAGAGTTTAAATCTGTGACTGGGAGTTTGAATATGGCTATGCCTCAGTTAAAGTTGAAGGTGAGTCAGCACCATACCATGTTGGAAGGTTTCACCACACCAAGTGGATAACATCTAAACCCTGAACCACTGATATAACTGGAACACTGCTCAATGTTTCAGCCAAAGTAATACCCAATGGAGACCTAAAATGGTTAATCATACCCTCCTGGAGTTTCAGACTTACTAGTCGGGCTGCAATAGCTGCTTCTAGTCAAGAAGGAATTAGGTGCATATCAAATGCACAAAAAGACCATGCAACCTTATGTACAAGACATCAACATACCTATATTGATACCTCATTTTTCTACCCGTGAAGGTCCGGGTTAGAATTGATCTTCAGTAACCCATGTTTGATGTAAGAGGCGACTAATGGGATGTGGTCAGGCTCGCTGACTGTGTTGACACATGTCATCGTATCCCAATTGCGTAGATCGATGTTCATGCTGTTGATCACTGGATTGTCTGGTCCAGACTCGACTATTTGCAGATCGCCGGCATATAGCGGGAATATTGCTGAGTGCGGTGTAAAACTGAACTCACTCACCTCATTTTTCAAACAAAATTTGTTTTTTGACCATTAGATAGACCATCATAGACAGACATGCACACACACATACACACACACACTCATCACTGTTACATCAAAACAAGGTGTTAATCCTCTAACTTCTAATTACAACTGACATTGTGATAAATGTTTTCTACAATGCCCAATGTCATTAAGATACAATTTTCAAACACTTAATCAAAATCCATTACAAGAATAGCAAAGGAAAGTACCAAACTTGTTATCATTGATAGCTTCACCTGATATTCAAAGAGCAGATGGCACTACATTTCTGGAGGCCTTCAATTAGTAAATATGCATTGTTAGGTCTGTGATACTGAATTGTGAACATACTGTGAAATAATTGATTTAAATCATCATTTAAGCCAATAAATAAAATTATTGACTCTGTAAACCCATACTGCTTAGTAACGAGTAACAATTAGCACTATCTCAGGGATTAATCGGGCGCGAATTTCTGTGGAGAGAGAGAGAGAGAATTCACAAAGAAATAATCGACAGTTAATCAGTTATGCTCAGAATATGAACCCTACTCTAATTTGAACCTAAATCAAATTTGCTGTCCTGAAAATGCACACACACAAATACAAAAGGCACCAGTTCTGTGCATACATGAGCATGTGTATACAAAGTTCCAAGAAGAATGGTTTACGAGATATTTCACGAACCTAAATGTGATGGACAGACAGAGCCTGTCTACATCAGAAAACACTATCTTGGGAAGATATACACACGGAATGAAAGGACTCTCCAAGTTTCTGTTGAAAGACGGGATATATGATGGTTTGTGACTGTCATTCTGAAACAATGATCTTCTGACCTTCACCATGTTATTGTTCATCTGCTTGAAAATAAGCATTTAAGTCCAGATAAACATTATAATGACTGCATAAACACACATCAGATTTAATGTTACAACATAAACTATGGAGCAGTTATTGGGGAAATGTATGAAAATGGCACCAGTTAATTGTGAACACAATAGCCAGCCGAGCAACTCTAGGAAGGTGGTGAGGTTGTACCCTTGTAGAATCGAGGGATCCTGGATCACCTTCACCTTAGTCATTCATTTTAGTCCCTAAACACCATACGTCTTTCATTTTTTTCTTTCCCTATTTTCTATTCACATTTCACTTGCATTGTTTACCATCTGCAGGAGTGATGTCAGACAAAAACATCAAGATGGTAGTTCACACATATTAAAAAAACGATGGTGTCAGAACGTCAATGTTTTCTGTGGTGTCTGTCAGTGATATCGCACAGCTTCACCATAAGATGGTGGTGGCTCCTCTGGCTCAAGGGGGTTGAAGTGTGTCCCTCCTATTGCTTGACCTCCGCCCCCAGCAGGTCCTGTGCTGCTGTTCAATAATGGTGCTGCAGAACTTGGAACAGTGTCACTCTGATAACCACGGAAACCGCTACTAGTTGGAACATTACTTGGAGAAAGCGAGTATGGAAGAGGGGAATTGTCCGAGGTTCCTGTATGGTACCCATTGTTTCGGATTGACGACTGTAAGACTGCCTCGTTAACTTGACTGGTAGAGGTGGGGTAGTTCCCCCCCACTGTGTGATGACCCCCACAGGCAGGGTGGGACCTGCTGTCTACCTCTGAATTGTAGCAGTCCGTACACATCAACAGCAGCACCACCAGCCCAGCTGTGACAGCCACTGACATCAACATCACCGCCAGCACCGTCACCTCACCTCCATCAATGCTCACTGGGAAACAAAACACAACACATAAACATTTCATATTCAACTTTTTCATTCAGGAGTATAGAGTCAGACAGCTTTGTGATGAGACATATGTGATTAATTGAGGCAAAAAGTGTTCCTGACTTGCTGTAGAAGTTGAACAATGTTATCTCAGTATGGCTCAGACACCAGATAACTGATGCTGATTGGACCATTCAGTCTATTGATTACTAAATGTCTGGCCCAGACATAACCTTAAATCCTAACAATCCATAATAACAAGTACTTCATGAGGAGTCGAGGTATGTTACCTGATACAGCAGATGTCTAGGTAGGAGGGATGAGGAGACACAGAGGTATGTTACCTGATACAGCAGCTGTCTAGGTAGGAGGGACAAGGAGGGATGAAGAGACACAGAGGCATGTTACCTGATACAGCAGCTGTCTAGGTAGGAGGGATGAGGAGACACAGAGGCATGTTACCTGATACAGCAGATGTCTAGGTAGGAGGGATGAGGAGACACAGAGGTATGTTACCTGATACAGCAGATGTCTAGGTAGGAGGGATGAGGAGACACAGAGGTATGTTACCTGATACAGCAGCTGTCTAGGTAGGAGGGACAAGGAGGGATGAAGAGACACAGAGGCATGTTACCTGATACAGCAGCTGTCTAGGTAGGAGGGATGAGGAGACACAGAGGCATGTTACCTGATACAGCAGATGTCTAGGTAGGAGGGACAAGGAGGGATGAAGAGACACAGAGGTATGTTACCTGATACAGCAGCTGTCTAGGTAGGAGGGACGAGGAGACACAGAGGCATGTTACCTGATACAGCAGCTGTCTAGGTAGGACGGACGAGGAGACACAGAGGTATGTTACCTGACACTACAGCTGTCTAGGTAGGAGGGATGAGGAGACACAGAGGTATGTTGCCTGACACTGCAGCTGTCTAGGTAGGAGGGATGAGGAGACGCAGAGGTATGTTACCTGATACAGCAGCTGTCTAGGTTGGAGGGATGAGGAGACACAGAGGTATGTTATCTGATACAGCAGCTGTCTGGGTAGGAGGGACGAGGAGACACAGAGGCATGTTACCTGATACAGCAGCTGTGTAGGTAGGAGGGATGAGGAGACACAGAGGTATGTTATCTGATACAGCAGCTGTCTGGGTAGGAGGGACGAGGAGACACAGAGGCATGTTACCTGACACTACAGCTGTCTGGGTAGGAGGGATGAGGAGACACAGAGGCATGTTACCTAGGATACAGCAGCTGTCTAGGTAGGAGGAGGGATGAGGAGACACAGAGGCATGTTACCTGATACAGCAGCTGTCTAGGTAGGAGGGATGAGGAGACACAGAGGCATGTTACCTGATACAGCAGCTGTCTAGGTAGGAGGGATGAGGAGACACAAAGGCATGTTACCTGATACAGCAGCTGTCTAGGTAGGGAGGGATGAGGAGACACAAAGGCATGTTACCTGATACAGCAGCTGTCTAGGTAGGAGGGGATGAGGAGACACAGAGGCATGTTTACCTGATACAGCAGCTGTCTAGGTAGGAGGGGGATGAGGAGACACAGAGGCATGTTACCTGATGATACACAGCAGCTGTCTAGGTAGGAGGGATGAGGAGACACAGAGGCATGTTACCCTGATACAGCAGCTGTCTAGGTAGGAGGGATGAGGAGACACAGAGGCATGTTACCTGATACAGCAGCTGTCTAGGTAGGAGGGATGAGGAGACACAGAGGCATGTTACCTGATACAGCAGCTGTCTAGGTAGGAGGGATGAGGAGACACAGAGGCATGTTACCTAGGAGGGATACAGCATGTTACCTGTCTAGGTAGGAGGGATGAGGAGACACAGAGGCATGTTACCTGATACAGCAGCTGTCTAGGTAGGAGGGATGAGGAGACACAGAGGCATGTTACCTGACACAGCAGCTGTCTGGGTAGGAGGGATGAGGAGACACAGAGGCATGTTACCTGACACAGCAGCTGTCTAGGTAGGAGGGATGAGGAGACACAGAGGCATGTTACCTGATACAGCAGCTGTCTAGGTAGGAGGGATGAGGAGACACAGCAGGCATGTTACCTGATACAGCAGCTGTCTAGGAGGGTAGGATACAGCAGCTGTCTAGGTAGGAGGGATGAGGAGACACAGAGGCATGTTACCTGATACAGCAGCTGTCTAGGTAGGAGGGATGAGGAGACACAGAGGCATGTTACCTGACACAGCAGCTGTCTAGGTAGGAGGGATGAGGAGACACAGAGGCATGTTACCTGATACAGCAGCTGTCTAGGTAGGAGGGATGAGGAGACACAGAGGCATGTTACCTGATACAGCAGCTGTCTAGGTAGGAGGGATGAGGGAGACACAGAGGCATGTTACCTGATACAGCAGCTGTCTAGGTAGGAGGGATGAGGAGACACAGAGGCATGTTACCTGATACAGCAGCTGTCTGGGTAGGAGGGATGAGGAGACACAGAGGCATGTTACCTGACACTACAGCTGTCTGGGTAGGAGGGATGAGGAGACACAGAGGTATGTTACCTGACACTACAGCTGTCTAGGTAGGAGGGATGAGGAGACACAGAGGTATGTTACCTGATACAGCAGCTGTCTGGGTAGGAGGGATGAGGAGACACAGAGGCATGTTACCTGACACAGCAGCTGTCTAGGTAGGAGGGATGAGGAGACACAGAGGCACAGACATGTTACAAAGGCATGGATACAGCAGCTGTCTAGGTAGGAGGGATGAGGAGACACAGAGGCATGTTACCTGATACAGCAGCTGTCTAGGTAGGAGGGATGAGGAGACACAGAGGCATGTTACCTGATACAGCAGCTGTCTAGGTAGGAGGGATGAGGAGACACAGAGGCATGTTACCTGATACAGCAGCTGTCTGGGTAGGAGGGATGAGGAGACACAGAGGCATGTTACCTGATACAGCAGCAGCTGTCTGGGTAGGAGGGATGAGGAGACACAGAGGCATGTTACCTGACACAGCAGCTGTCTAGGTAGGAGGGATGAGGAGACACAGAGGCATGTTACCTGATACAGCAGCTGTCTAGGTAGGAGGGATGAGGAGACACAGAGGCATGTTACCCTGACACTGCAGCTGTCTAGGTAGGAGGGATGAGGAGACACAGAGGCATGTTACCTGATACAGCAGCTGTCTAGGTAGGAGGGATGAGGAGACACAGAGGCATGTTACCTGATACAGCAGCTGTCTAGGTAGGAGGGATGAGGAGACACAGAGGCATGTTACCTGATACAGCAGCTGTCTAGGTAGGAGGGATGAGGAGACACAGAGGCATGTTACCTGACCAGCAGAGGTAGGAGGGATGAGGAGACACAGAGGCATGTGTCTAGGTAGGAGGGATGAGGAGACACAGAGGCATGTTACCTGATACAGCAGCTGTCTAGGTAGGAGGGATGAGGAGACACAGAGGCATGTTACCTGATACAGCAGCTGTCTAGGTAGGAGGGATGAGGAGACACAGAGGCATGTTACCTGATACAGCAGCTGTCTGGGTAGGAGGGATGAGGAGACACAGAGGCATGTTACCTGATACAGCAGCTGTCTGGGTAGGAGGGATGAGGAGACACAGAGGTATGTTACCTGACACTACAGCTGTCTAGGTAGGAGGGATGATGAGACACAGAGGTATGTTATCTGATACAGCAGCTGTCTGGGTAGGAGGGATGAGGAGACACAGAGGCATGTTACCTGACACTGCAGTTGTCTAGGTAGGAGGGATGAGGAGATACAGAAGCATGTTGCCTGACACTACAGCTGTCTAGGTAGGAGGGATGAGGAGACACAAAGGCATGTTACCTGACACTGCAGTTGTCTAGGTAGGAGGGATGAGGAGACACAAAGGCATGTTACCTGATACAGCAGCTGTCTAGGTAGGAGGGATGAGGAGACACAGAGGCATGTTACCTGACACTACAGCTGTCTGGGTAGGAGGGATGAGGAGACACAGAGGCATGTTACCTGATACAGCAGCTGTCTAGGTAGGAGGGATGAGGAGACACAGAGGTATGCTATCTGATACAGCAGCTGTCTGGGTAGGAGGGATGAGGAGACACAGAGGTATGTTACCTGACACTACAGCTGTCTGGGTAGGAGGGATGAGGAGACACAGAGGCATGTTACCTGATACAGCAGCTGTCTAGGTAGGAGGGATGAGGAGACACAGAGGTATGTTATCTGATACAGCAGCTGTCTAGGTAGGAGGGATGAGGAGACACAGAGGCATGTTACCTGATACAGCAGCTGTCTAGGTAGGAGGGATGAGGAGAAACAGAGGCATGTTACCTGACACCGCAGCTGTCTAGGTAGGAGGATTGAGGAGACACAGAGGCATGTTACCTGATACAGCAGCTGTCTAGGTAGGAGGGATGAGGAGACACAGAGGCATGTTACCTGATACTGCAGCTGTCTAGGTAGGAAGGATGAGGACACTCAGAGGCATGTTACCTGATACAGCAGCTGTCTAGGTAGGAGGGATGAGGAGACACAGAGGCATGTTACCTGATACAGCAGCTGTCTGGGTAGGAGGGATGAGGAGACACAGAGGCATGTTACTTGATACAGCAGCTGTCTAGGTTGGAGGGATGAGGAGACACAGAGGTATGTTGCCTGACACTGCAGCTGTCTAGGTAGGGAGGGATGAGGAGACACAGAGGCATGTTATCTGATACAGCAGCTGTCTAGGTAGGAGGGATGAGGAGACACAGAAGCATGTTACCTGACACTGCAGCTGTCTAGGTAGGAGGGATGAGGAGACACAGAGGTATGTTACCTGACACAGCAGGTCTAGGTAGGAGGGATGAGGAGACACAGAGGCATGTTACCTGATACAGCAGCTGTCTAGGTAGGAGGGATGAGGAGACACAGAGGCATGTTACCTGATACAGCAGCTGTCTAGGTAGGAGGGATGAGGAGACACAGAGGCATGTTACCTGATACAGCAGCTGTCTAGGTAGGAGGGATGAGGAGACACAGAGG